GAGTTACAAAGCAGACAACACGGCAGTCCTGGAAGTAACCAAACCATGACTTAGGCAAGGTCAACACCTGTGCTGACAAGGAGCCACACAGGTCTTGCTAGTGTCTCTATACCTCTAGGAGCAGAGTTTAGCTCTGCAAGCTAAATCATAGATTCACTGTAAATTTGGTGTCTTCAAACCAGGGTTACAGCAACAAACCATGGCTAGGGTTTCACTTTAGTCCAGTTCTAGGGTCTGCTCTGTGGAGAAAGCATGCACAATTTTACAGAAGTGGCAGTTTCAGGAGATAGTGCCCCAAATCAGTTCGCCTGCTTAGGAGGGGTGGGGTGGGGGGAAGACACTTAAGAGAGAAGCATAATAAAATATATTTCATGCCAATCTTTATGTGTTTTAGCTTATCAATCATTTAGGGGGAAAGGCATTCCTGTTTCAAACTTTACCCATCGTATGCTTTCCTCAAGATTGCAATTCATTGTTATAGTGGAAGAAACAACACGTGAATTGGCTTGACACAGGTTTGAAAAATCTAAAAGCTTCTATTTTTCTAACCTAAATACTGGATAAAGTTTTGAAATGAATGGGGGCCAAATAGAAAAGTCTTATCCTAATAGCAGAAAATATTGCTGCCTGGCATATCTGCCTGGCATCTTACTATTTAAAATACTGAAGCAACCTCACTTTTAACACATACATATACCTCTAAAGCATTTAATTCACTACGTTGCTCTAAAATTAAATCATTCTGTTGGCTGTAACAGAACAACCTATATAAATGCAGAAGGCTTCATACCTAACTTTATGTGAAATATTAAACACCAGTGATGGTTTTTCTCCCTAGATTATATACCTTGGCATAATTACCCCTAAAGGCAATTTGATTTTATAATATATTCATCACTGTAAAAGAATCACATAATGTTTTTCAATTGCCTATTAATATGCAAATATTAGACTGAAGATTGGGAGCAGAGCTGAAACGAACCCTGAAAATCCCTGGAGAAAACAAAGTTAGGGCAGCATACTTAACAACCATCCAGAAACACAAACAAATTAGCATTCTGTTGTATGCGCCCTTGTGTGTTGCAATGCATACTTGAAGGAAGAGAATGAGTCAGGATAGAAAGAAAATAGAAGTGGATGAGGTTGTGTTTCTCTGCGTACCTGGGATGCTCTCACTGCTGGAATCAGTACTATTCGGATATCTATTTGAAGAACAGCTTCTTCATACGGAACTACTCCATTCAAATATGCCACCTTGACTTCAAAGAGCTCAATGTGATGATATACATTATTCTCCCATCTTCCCCTCACAATGCGGTGACATTTGCTAGGCGCCACAGCACAATGGGGATGGGAAACTTAAGTCTCCTCAACCCTGGCCTGACACTAACCACAACCCCACAACGGAATAAATGTTTGCATCATATTTTGACCCTGACTGCTTTACCCCAAGGACTCAAGGCAGGTTACATGCCAAGCTTGCGAACCATTTATCTGAATGAGTAGGGAAGTCCTGGCATCCCCCAAACAAATCCCATAACTGTCTCCTCTACTGCACGGTGATCACCTGTGTACTGAAAGCAGATGCACATATATTTATCACAATTATATCCTGCTTTTATTTCAAATAAGCTGAAGCTTCCACTCAGGAAGCTTTCTAGATCAGTCCTGCTTAGTTTCAACACCGGAACCTCACTACAGTGGTACCTCAGGTTACATACTCTTCAGGTTACATAGGCTTCAGGTTACAGACTCCGCTAACCCAGAAACAGTGCTTCAGGATAAGAACTTTGCTTCAGGATGAGAACAGAAATTGTGCTCCAGTGGCGTGGCAGCAGCAGGAGGCCCCCATTAGCTAAAGTGGTGCTTCAGGTTAAGAACAGTTTCAGGTTAAGTACGGACCTCCGGAACGAATTAAGTACTTAACTCAAGGTACCACTGTATATTTTCTGGACAAAGACACAATTCCAACAGACAATTTACATGTTCCTAGAATGTGTGACTGGGAAGATGGTGTCAAAACTAGGCTGGAGTCCCTTTGTCCATTTTTTGGTCCACCTTTTCTACGATTGCTCAAGCTCTCCAGGGAACACATTCAGGCACATTTTGAACAAATGAATAACTGCTCTGGAGACGGACAATAAGGGCTCAGAAAGTTGTTACAATCCCCCAAACCTCATACTACAATCCATTGCCTACCCCCCTGCCTGATCTGTAGAGAAATGGGCTTTTGTGTCCATTTTCATCTCGGCCCTGCTCTGTCGCTGCTTCCATTGCCTTCATACAAGAGATAAACGACTATTTCCCCCCTTCCAATTTCAATTTAATTCTTCTTATTGCCACCCCAAGGCAACTTTTTTCTGAAAGTTGAGAGAGAAAAAGGGAGAGAGAACTATTTCATCTAGCTTTCGAAAAACTGAAAATGGTTTTTTTTTTAAGGGAGAAGATTGTCCTGCTAATAAAACTCCCGTGTTATTATTCAGTCTTCCTCCACTGCTACCGAATGAGAAAAGAATTTCCACTAGATTCACGGCTGGTAGCAGACCTCCATTTTCAAGAAAACTCTAATTAAGCTTGAGTGTAAAAATATTTTTATATTAGAAATATTTTCATCTTTGACTTCGGTCATTAAACATAAGTCCTCCTCTACGAATATAAAGGCTGGCTGAATAATGTTTAGGCAATAGCATGGAGCGAAGGAGCATTTTGTTTTAGCACTCAGTGTGGAAAGCCCTTTACTGCCTTACCAGTTTAATAGCAGAGCAGTCCCCCTCTCCTTCAGCCAGAAGCTGGGAATGTGAAATAAATCCTCGGTCTGTAGTGATTTTGCAAACATGTAGGCACTAAACCAAATTCTGGAAGCTGCCTCCTACGAATCAGAAGAACTAGCCTTCCTCTGTTTTTAGATTAAAGTTGAAAAGTGGTATAGACAACTGATGGGTAAGCATTTTAGACATGCACAGAAGCACACATTTCTGCAAGCAATTTTCACACGATTAAAGAAACAAACAAAAAAACCACCCTATAGTCTTAGCTAATATATCACCGTATTTTTCCGTGTATAAGACGAAAGTTTTTTCTTAGAATAGGCAAAAATTGCGGATAGCACAGGGGGGACGGGCGATTGGTGGCAGCAGCCAGCAGGAGATTGTCAGAGGCGATTGGGCGTGTGATTGGTTGTTGCAGCAAGGCCTGATGACGATTGGCTGTGGCTGCAGCAATTTGACATTGACTTATGGCAGCCTTGAGGCATGCGTGCAGTCGGCTGTAGTTGCATCAAGTGGTCAGTTGGGCTTTTGGCGGAGCGTGCAGACGATTTGTGGCCGTGTCAATGTGTGTAATTTGCTGTGGTGGGGAGGTTGTATAGTGATTGGTGGTGATGACCCCCCCAACAACAACTTTGGGCAATTCCCCCCCCCCTTTATTTATTTTTTTGAATTATACATGGGGGCGTGTTACACACGGCAGAAAAAACGGTATATGGAAAATATGGGACTATTCTAGTGCCAGTATTGGGGAGCCTGACCTCAAATTAAATCTCTTCTATTAATTTCGTTACAGTAGCCTGTTTGTGTCATTCTAAGTGGGTTGATCAGTTATGTTCCCATACAGGTGACCTGTCGGATAAGTAGCTGTCTTCATATTCAGTGTATGTCCCCTGGTTGCCCTTTCCACAATCTGTTCCTTCCTCCATGCCAGGTGGTAGCCGCCTCGACAGATGACACTCTTGCCAGGCTAACCATGGGGCTTTTGTTCTTCCATAACATACCTGCTCATACCTTAATGCCTCTGGGGGCCTTTGCATGGAGAAAGAGCATGCTGATACCTTCCTCTTGCCCACAAACATCAAACAATGCATGAACCAGGGATTCCACTGCTCACTACTCCATCTCATGAAGGTCACTGCCTGGAGCATATGAACCAAGGTGTAGTTTGCCTGGCACATCCGGTTTTCAACTGAATGTTACTATTTGGGTGGTGACCAATGCCTTGCCAATCAGGCATAGCTCTCAAAAAATGCAGGGACAGTACAACTCTCCTGATTTGTTTCTTGGTCTTGCCACTAAAACAGCAACTTCCAAGGGAGAACAGGAAGTGAGGGCTTTGTGTTACTGTTGGTTCCCTCCCTCTCTCATCTCAGCAGTCCAGGATATATTACAGAGGTGTGCAAGAGATTAGGAAGAAAAGTGAAAGATGGGGACAAGAGTTGCTCAAGCTTAGTACAGTGGCTAGTTGCTTGAGTTCCAGCAAGATGGGTACTTGATTGGGGAAGAAGGGTACTTTGACAGATGGAACCATCTAATACTATGAGTATTACGACAGAATCTTTCCACTAAAGGGACCAAAAGGCCACTGATTATCCAGTCCACAGCACATCACAATCAGATTCAGCAATATCAAAAGGAACACAATGGCCAGAAACAATTACAATGTGAAAAACATCAAAACTAACAAACTGAAGTCTCTGAAAGTCCTTAAATGAATCACGGTGTCAGACTTTACCTGGCGGAGAGCAAGCTGTGAAGCTTTGTATAATCAGTAAATGTCCAATTCTGATGTCCAACTCTGAACTCTGCTGAACAGTGTTTCCGGATAACAACTACTGTTCCTTTGAATTCTTCACCAGCCAATTAGTTCAACACTCGTAAATAGAAAGATATGTAATTTCTTCATTAACCAATCTTTTTTCAAATAGGGGAATACATGAGAATGAAAAATACTCTGGAACAGTGCTCATGCTTTAGATGACTCAAAGAGTGCCAAATCACATAGCATGCAATCTGGGTGGGGTTGAGGGTGCTGAAACAGGATTACTCGACAATGTGAGCTCAGCTAGAATTCTTTCTCCACACAAATATCATGATCAGTCTGCATCTATGCAGGCACCAAAAGAATCTTTTCCAACTCCCAGAGTGAAATCACAGAATCATAAAATTGTTATAGAGTTGGAAGGGACCACAACAGTCATCTAGTCCAACCCCCGAAATACAGGAATCTTTTGCTCAATGTGGGGATTGAACCCGTGTCCCTGAGATTAAGAGTCTTGTGCTCTACCAAGTGAGCTAGTTTCTCTGTCAAACTACTTGAACTTGTGCATGAACCTTAAGACCTAGATCAAGGCAAAACCCAGTGGTTTGTGGAATGGAGTGGGTGAATAAAATTGGGAAGGCATGCAGGGTTCGTTACACTTGGGTTCCATTGAACTCAATGTGAAACATTAGTCCTGACTAAGTGCAATCTAAAGGCAATTATCTTGTTCTGTTTCTAGCCTTGGATCTTCACGTTACCTTTGCAAAACAAAACATAATCTAATCTGCATATATTGAATGCTAGGCATGATACTACATGCCTATATATTCCTTCCTGACCTTCATTCAATTCGCATATTATGTTCTGTAAGGATTGCCCATTATCAGATGCGCATCTGTAAGCCCCATTCAGATGTCATGCTGAACATGAAGACACAGAGCAGGGTGGCTGATAGAGCAGGGCCCTACAACCCTGTAATGTGTTTAATATCTGCAGTTTTCCAAATGTGTTCAAAGGCCAAAGGCCAATAAGCACTGAATCTTTTCAGCTGCGTGTGCAATTTATTGCTCTCAAAAAATAATCATTTCCCGTTTTGCAGTTCCTGAAATACCTGCAACAATCCTCCTACCTGTGCAGGGAATACAACATATGACTTAAATACCAAAAATAGATGGCCCTCCAGGTCTCTTCCCATTATAATTAGAGCCAAACCAAAATGCCACACTGACCTCTGTTTTACTGAGCCAGCAGGACTGAAAGTTCAGCTGACTTCTTTAAAAGCCTGCAAAAGCCTGGGGGCTTGTAGCTTTTCCTGGTCATGGTTTAAACTGATCTACGGATCTCTGAGAAGGGCAAGGAAAGTTTAATTGTTAGGAGCTAATTTTCTTAAGCCTTTCATTAGCAAGAACGTTTAGGCAGAGAAAAAGTGATAGATGAAACTTCAAAGTGGACTAGAACACCAGTGGCCCACAGTTAAGTATTCTGCCCTAATTGCAGGGCTGGTTTCACTGTACAGTTCTAGCTCCTCCAGTTACTCATTTACATTATTTTTATGGGCAAAGGGATCTGTTGGCAAAGAAATATAGCAATATATGCCCTGTTAATTTCCTGATACTTCAAAGCTAAGCACTGTTGCCAAATGGACTACTGATAAATGCAAGGAAGGAAAATGGCAAGTTTTCTTGAAGATTCTTTCAAAGACTTCATCTGCTCTCCCATATAGCACTGTTGCTTGTATAAATATTTCAGCTATTTTGTTGTACAGTGGTACCTTGGGTTAAGTACTTAATTCATTCTGGAGGTCCATTCTTAACCTGAAACTGTTCTTAACCTGAGGTACCACTTTAGCTAACGGGGCCTCCTCCTGTCAAAGCACGATTTCTGTTCTCATCCTGAAGCAAAGTTCTTAACCCGAGGTACTATTTCTGGGTTAGCAGAGTCTGTAACCTGAAGCATATGTAACCTGAAGCATCTGTAACCTGAGGTACCACTGTAATAATAATAATTTATTATTTATACCCCACCCATCTGGCTGGGTTTCCCCAGCCACTCTGGGCGGCTTCCAACAAAATATTAAAATACAATAGTCTGTTAAACATTAAAAGCTTCCCTAAACAATTATTGTTATTATTTATACCCTGCCCATTTGGCTGGGTTTCCCCAGCCACTCTGGGCGGCTCACATACTGAATATTAAAAACACAATCAAACATTAAAAACTTCCCTAAACAGGGCTGCCTTCAGATGTCTTCTAAAAGTCAGATAGTTGTTTATTTCCTTGACATCTGACAGGAGGGTGTTCCACAGGGCGGGTGCCACTACCGAGAAGGCCCTCTGCCTGGTTCCCTGTAACTTGGCTTCTTGTAGGGAGGGAACTGCCAGAAGGCCCTTGGAGCTGGACCTCAGTGTCTGGGCTGAACTGTGTTTTTACGTTGGGATCCACAGAACAGTGCAACTTGTTTGGTGCGTCCAAGGAAACTTTCAACTTTATAACAAAGCACTTTTGAAACTGAGCATTGGTGATGACAATATCACTAAAGCAACAAGGGGGAAAACTCCCCGCATTTGCTCAAGTCTTTGGCCACACCTGAAGGAACTCCTTGGGTACTTCTAAGAGAATCAATACAGTTGTATTCCGAAACATCTGCCTACAATTTGCATTAAAAAATCAAAAATAAACATTATTTGGTAAGAGATAGGATTGTGTTTTCCACATGAATACAAAGCAGCCGCAATGTGGGATTTTCACTTCAGCTTTAGATTAACCAGAGTATGTTGTGTTCTCTGGACTCAGAACTGTGGTTAATTGTTATTAACTATGGTTAGTATAAACATGTCTGCTTGAGTAACAATGGTTTGACATTAGCTGGCTTGATATTAACCATAAGTAATACTAACCACAGTTTTCTGGGCTCAAATGACCTGGCTTTCTGTGGTTAATCTAAAATAAACGAATGCTTCCACATTTCCTTCTTGGCTATCACAATATCCTCGCCTGTAAAAGCTGCTTTGTCAATAAACAGAGCTAAAATGCTTAACAGGGCTAACCATGAATGCCTATCAGAATGTAATCTCTCCACATTAGAAGAAAAAGCAAATGCTAAAATATGTTTGCTCACACACAAAAAAAGGCCTCCTTAAAGATTATGAACAACATGAGTCACATAACCCTGCATGGCTCGTAATAAAAGTTAAATACAGATCTTTTAAAGGGGTAAATGCTACCAATGGGGAATCTTTCAGAGCTGAACATCTGTCTTAATTCAACATACTCAAAAACTATGCTGGCATGCCCTTAGCTACAAAGCAGCTCCTGTCACTCGAATGTTAAGGCTGTGCTAGGGAAAGCAGCTATCACAATCATTATTCCACAGTTCAAGGGACCTCCAGCTGCCAATCTTGACTTACCCTTGGTGGTTTCGCAGATTAGGCTGCAAACACCAGGCTGCAGATATCATAGAACCACAGGCAGAGGAACTTTAACTTACATAAAATGATTAACAACAATAGCAAAGAGCCAAAACTGAGTGACGAGAGTCAAGATGGAAGCCCAAACACAGACGGCAAATTCAAAGGGCTTTTTTGACCAAGAGTGAGTGTGGCATAGCAGCTTTGCCACTTCCGGTTTAAGTAAGGTAAAAGGTAAAGGGACCCCTGACCATTAGGTCGAGTTGTGACCGACTCTGGGGTTGCGGCACTCATCTCACTTTATTGGTCGAGGGAGCCGGCGTACAGCTTCTGGGTCATGTGGCCAGCATGACTAAGCCGCTTCTGGCAAACCAGAGCAGCGCACAGAAACACCGTTTACCTTCCCGCCGGAGCGGTACCTATTTATCTACTTGCACTTTGACGTGCTTTCGAACTGCTAGGTGCGCAGGAGCTGGGACTGAGCAACGGGAGCTCACCTCGTCGCGGGGATTCAAACCGCCGACCCTCTGATCGGCAAGCCCTAGGCTCTGTGGTTTAGACCACAGCGCCACCCGCTGCTCCACCACTTACAGTTTAAGTATTCCATTGCAAATGCTGCAGGGTAATTGTTTCTGATAGTCTGTCAGGGCTGAACTATGCATTACCTTAAATGCTAAGCTTAAATTACCTTAAATCACCAACCCAGCTCTCCTTGTTTCTGAGGTCCCACTTAACTGGCTGCAGGTGAGCAAGGAAATGCTGAGCATTATGATGTCATGTTACATGTCTGATGTAGCTAAAGGTTGCCAAGAGATGGGAGGAGAAAATAGTGGCAACCGTGCATTTAAAGGTAAAATACAGTTAGGCCTTTGAATTCGGATGTAGGCCTGTGGCTACACACTAAGATCAGTATGTCACAAATTCGCTCAGAAGTTTGGTATATCCGTTCAATTCATAGCAAGCCATGTGATAAAACCACAAGAGTTTCATTCACGTAAAGTACTGATCTGACCAGCAGCACAACCAACCACCATCTTCAGTGTCTAACCCCGTCCCCCAAAACTATTGACAGCCTCCCTGCACCCAAGCATGAGGCTCACTTTGCAAAAACCATCTAGGTCAACCGGATCTTGAACCCACAACATTTAGTAAGGTGGTTGAGTGCCACTATCCATGGTACCTGCCACTGATCTTACAGTATATATGCAGCTGCAGTTTGTAGAGTGTAGGAAATAAGCTGGATGGTCTAGGTACCTTTCAAATAATGTAATGAAGTATTGCAACATGCATTGCACTTTTAAATACATATTGGTGCGGACAGTAAAAAAACCCCTGATATGGCTCTTGGTGTCTTATGGCATTTAAATACAATTCTAACAGTTTTAATAATGTTTTTATGGCAAGCACTAGATTGCATATTATTTTTTGAAGGCTGAATCACCAACTTTGCACTTTACCAAAGTTTTGATCATTAACTATTCCACAAGACGAAAGGAACTCATAGTGTCTTTTAAATTATGTATTTCAGAAGTTATTTTTAAAAGTGCATTCCTGTGCAACACCAGAAAGCTATGAATTTCTACAGGAGGAGCAATTGTGGCATAAATACATATTTTGAAATATTAAGCGTCTAAACTGTCAGCTATATACCTTTGTGCTAGACTGTGACAGATTACTTCAGGATTGCAGATTTTATTGAGCAATACAGCCTTTATTGTCAATAGAAGGAATCATTCTGTAAGCTCTCTTAAAAGTGACAGTTCTCACAGCTCAGCGTAACAAATCAGATGTATGTGTTTGCAGAACACAGAGCACCTGATACATCAAAACTACATATTTTCTTTGGAAGGAATATAGTTTGCTTGTAAATAATTCTATGCTGTGGTTATTCTATGCAATACACTCCCTGTTAATGCCAAACAAAGATCTTATCAGAAAAACTAGATCGTAAAGTATTGCGCATTAAAGATGTCAATGCTATCCCCTAAGTTGCTTGAATTGGGCCATAAATGAAAACAGTTCGAATGTGTGGCATTTACTGCAGTTCTGGAAAATGCTCCGGAATAGAATTCATCAAATTTCCAAATGGTTTCCACATTCTTAGAGAACTAACAAACAAAAAAACACCTTTTAT